CCTGAGACCACGGTTTGCTGCCCTAAAACACTCTGTTCAGGCCACCTTGAAAATAAAGGTCTTGTAGCTACAATTCTGTTCCCAGGTATGGCGCGCATCAGGCTTCACAGACAGTGGAAATAGCTTCTTCCCGGCTTTGCACTGCGAATCAGCCCCACAAAAGCGCTGGCTTTCGTTTTGCAGCTTCTCAGGTTGCTTGATTTCTCCAGCCAGCGGTTGTGAGTGTGTGCGTGCGGGATGTCATAATATGTCATTATATAGCATTGTAATGGTTCAATGACCGGGACATACTGGGACTGAGTTCCCTTCGGTGCAACACTAAGAAGGCACGACCAACGAAGGGGAACGTTCATCAAACGTGAGCTCAGTGTGCATTTGGACCAAACACATTGGGGAAGTCCCATTACCACAGTCGGAAGAGAAAGGCCTGCAACTGAAGCATCATCATCTTCTGGGCCCATGGAGTGGGATATGATATGCCTAACAAATTACGTTTAAGTTTGTTACCATTCCCGTGGGCTCATGGTTTTTCACGCCTGGACCTTCCCGATCATTTGTTCAGGACAGCGCGGCGATCCTCCGATGGAATCGGGATCATCCAGACCTCCAGCTGCTGAAGGGTCAGGCGATCTTAGAAGTCAATGGATGCATCAGAAGCAGCGAGACTTGGAGATTTGAACAGACAGGTTGTTGATGAGATTGTTATATTCAATGATTGTTGCATATTTGTTGCTTTGGACACCCACCATTGTGCCATGTTCGCCGTGTTTACTCTTCGGTACGGGCGTTTTGGCGCCGTTGGCTCATATGATTCCCGTTGCGTGTTTTACTCCCGGCATGACATCCCGCACCACTGAAGAGCCCCTTTGAACACACCCATTTGTGGGCTGCCTGGTCCATCGCATGACAAGAGGCGTGTTCTTCGATGTTCTTCCTGTTGTAGCAGTGCTCAGCCTCACCTAAGGAGATGATGGAGCACCTTCGACATTCGAAGACTCTCGAGATGCGGGTATCCTTTCAACTGACCCCTGCGTTGCAGATGGTGAGCCAAGTGGCGGAGCGCAAGCAGAGAACGCAGGAGGCGGTGGAGGCGAAACTGGATGAGGTTCATTGTGCCTGAGCATGTTGAGCAACCGAGAACATCCAAAAACATTCAATAACCTCGGGGTTGTTTAGTTTCCCAGATCTGTCCTCCATGAAATCTTCCGCCTTTCCCTGGTCTGATGCCATGCAAAACACGGTGAGGACGGAGAGTCCCAGCGACTGATCTCAGACCAGCTGCTGTTGCGCCGTTGTTTCAGAGTCATCACCGTGAGAAACCGGAGCCGTTAGGGCTTCCGTTGAGGCACCCAGAGAAGTGGTCCCGGTTCGTCCATTCTTTGGATGTTGGCTGGATTTCAGGCTAGACATGGCTAGACCGCACGGCTGAAGTGCAAAACAACATGTGTCACCAATCTTGGCCTTTCAGCAGACAGAAATGATTCGATGAATGCATATGAATGATATCCTCCAGTCTGCGCCTTTCGGGTGTTACAGTTGAAGATGTTAAAACGGGCCGCCGATGTTTGGCGCATGTTAGCACCGGTGTTAGCACCTTGGTGTACATTGTCCGTACATGTGCAGACTGTTTGGAGAGTATTAGCTCTTCTGGGTGTTCGAAAAGGCCACTCGGTCGCCAATTCCCCGGCGAGCCCCGCGCTCAAGGTGCAGATGATCATTGCGCCATTTGCTTCGAAGACATGAAGACCTGCCAAGCAGTGAGGCTTCCTTGCGGCCACTGCTTTCACAAGGGCTGTGTCACCAAATGGCTGGTGTCAAAGCAATCTTGCCAAAGATGTCCCTTGTGCAACCAGCAGCTTTTGACAAACCCATGAGCCTGCTGCGTGAGAGACAGCAATGAGCTTCTTCCACAACCTTTGTTGGTTACTCTATGACTGCCTTTCGCATGCCACTAGGGCGGCGGGGGCAGCACAGCAAATGCAGAATCATCGACCACCGGTAAAGACCTTTGCAGCCGCCAGGGCCATTGGTCTTTGCTCGGTGCGGCACCGTACAGCCACGAATTTGTGTACCCCATTTGTGCAGGCAGAGGGGGTCCACAAGGATTGCATTTTGTCCATGTTGAGATAATTAGCTTTTGGAAGGCTTGGCTTCCAAGGTGTCCAATTCTGTCCAATCGGTTGGATTGCGGCTCGCGGCCCCTCGTGCTGCCATTGTAGAGGTTGCCGCAACACGGCAGTACGCACGGGTTTTTGAGCCACGCTGCAGGCAGGCAAGTGGCCACTAGGGACACTCGTCCATGCTGGGTAGCGATACTGTAGCACGTAGGGCGAACTGGTTGTACATCACTGACACTGTACTTCCAAGGTGTCCAATCGTTTGGATTGGGGCTCCAGCCCCCTTGCATCTACAGCTGCGCTGCCATTGTAGAGGTTCACGGCAG